AGAAATCTGCCTCACATTCCATTACCTCAGTTCAAATTGGCAGATGTTCCACTTCTTCACTCAGGAGCAGTCTGGGGCTCCTTATAGTACTAAATGTCAGTACCACTCCAAAATGTCTATGCTTTCCACCAATGGAACTGCTTCCAGACTCAAGGCAGTGGGAGCGATATTCCCTTATGTGTTTCAATCACCAATCACAACTGAGCCAACAGATTTAGTGAACCAGATTTCTTTTGCATTCTCTGATCAGATAGTTTTGTTGCAAAGTGGGTAAAGTATATAGCAATAGCACTTATAGTATACTGCTTCACAGTGCTTTATAGTTCCTCTTAGTGGTTTACCATCTCAGCCTATTTTACCAGCCTTGGAAGGATGGAAGGCTGAATCAACCTTGAGGGTAGTGATATTTGAACTGCCGAATTGTTGGCAGCCAGCAGTCAGCAGAAGTAGCCTGCAGCACTGCATTCTAATCATTGCACTACTACAGCTCTTTGCAGTGCAAATAATGGTTGCACTGTATCTTTCACTGAATCCTGAGATCCTTCAGGAAACCACTGTGGCACAAATCCTTCAAGCCACAACAACAGAGAATAGACAGGAAGAGAAGAGTTATGAAGCTAGATCTACTATAATAACAATCCTTAATTTCATAAAGATCTCTCTTTACCTCACTGGCCAATGAAAGCATTCTTCCCCTCCTACTCCTCTGCACCCTCCATGCAATATACATTCACGCAAGTGTCTAGGACATATTTCCCTTCTGGGGATATTTTTGTCTCTCTCAAGGTATTTGGGCCACATGTAGCTTGGAGCCTCAAGTTGTATATTTGTGTTATAGACCCATAGGAGTGGATGTTAAAAAACACAAGTTCAAATGTTCACTGAGGGGCATTGGAAGGAGAATTATAAGAATATAGCATATAAGTAAAGGAGTAGAAAACTTACATTAATGTAGAAAAGTTTAAAGATGGAAATGCTTAATTGTAAATTCAAAAAACACCGTGTTCCCCTGAAAATAAGACGGTCTTATTTTCTTTTGACCCCCAAAATAAGCTCTTGACCTTATTTTCCATGAGATCTTATTATCTTTTGAGGGGCAGGAGGTGGCAAGGATGGTCACCTCATGGCTGCTGCTGTGTTGCAATATTTTTGGGGAGAGCTTATTTTGGGAGGAGGGCTTATTTTATACAATCACTTATATACTGTGCATAAAAAAAAGAAAAAAGGAAAAAAAAAAACCCCCAACATAACACTTCATT